AATACGGGCCCGATAACATCAAGAATTACATCAATTCACTTCTAAAAACCTTTATATTCTCCAAAAAATAATTTTCTTTAAAAATTCATTTCTAGGGCTTGGGACCTCGGAATTCGATTCCGGACATACGCCCAAGTCCCAAATTTTACTACAGACCCTACGAGACCGTCGGTTCACGGGTCTTGGTCTGTTTACTAAGAATGTTGACCAAAGCCAACTTTATTCAATTTTAAAAGCTAATTTCCTTATTTCACTTAGTTTTCACATAAAAGCTTTCCAAAAATGCGTCCGGACTGCGCACACAAATCGAAGGGAGATAAAAAGAGGGCTTTAAGGCCCCCGGGACACTGAATTTACTTGCAACACTAGTGATGACCTTTTGGGTCATCACAGTATACAAGGTATATAGTACAATTATTTGACTTTCACTCAAAGAGTCTTTTATATACTTCCTCTGTTTATGTGATATTTTTTACTTCTCGAGAATTAAATTCTTATTAATTAATTAACCATACATTTGAATGTAGAATCTTTCATTTTTTGAAACAAAATTTACATATTTGAAAATTATGTAAAAAGTACTATAAGTCATAATAATTAATAGTTTAAAATATTTAAAATGTATATGAAAAAATTACTATCCAAGAAATAATTCGCTTGACATTTGAAATCCAAACAATGTCATATAAATTGGGACTTTCACTCTTTTCCTTCTTTGTTCCCTCTCCTTAATTTCCTAGTTTATTTTTAAATCACGACCGGAAACTAAAACTTATATTTGGCAAGAAAATTTTTCGGTGTTTTCAATATGGATTTGTCTTTACTTGAACTATTTTACGTTAACAGTAAAAACAAATCTGACTTGATTGAGGGATAGAGTTGGGTAGATTGCCGAATGAAGATTTTGTGAGAGCAAACTAATACTCCGTCCGTTTCAATTTATGTTAACCTATTTGATTGAGCACAAAATTTAAGAAAAAATGAAGACTTTTGTAATTTGTGGTCCTAAACAAATCAAAAGGGGGTCTAGAGTATTTGTATGGTTATAAAAGATTCTCATTAAGCATAGAATTGGAAGTTTAAGCTAAATTGTTTCCAAATTTAGAATGGGGTCATTCTTTATGGAACAGACCAAAAAGAAAATATGTTCACATAAACTGAAACGGAAGGAGGATCAAATTTTGAATTATTTTTTTCATGTTTTTTTCTAAGCAAAAATATGCGAGGTGGGGTGAGTTGATGCAGGGCTGGTTGAGAAAAATAAATAATGCTATGAGGTCGGGACGGGTTAATATTTTGTGGGTTAAGTTCCAACACAACTGTGAAAACATTGATTTCCATGGATTGAACAAAATCTATGCTAAGCTTTGAAAGAATAACGAGAGAGAAAAAGGAGAAGGAGATATTTTCATTTTATAATCTGAAAGAGGAAAATGTTTTCCACATCCTTCCAGAAGAGTCCAAAGTGTTTTCTATATACAATTGGGCTTATCCACTGATTACAGAAGAGTGACTAAAAAATGGGTCTCACTAAATAAGTGGGTTGATACCAATAAATACAACCAAATGGGCTTCTTCTTATGTAGGGTGTGCCCCAGCATCAACAACATTATTGTGGCCCAGCTTCTTAACTCCAACACCTCCCTTCTAGGGGGAGGGTGACTGAACCCCTAACTTGAGCAGTAAGGAATGATGAACAAGGCCAGTCAAAGGCTTAGTAAAGACATCAGCAAGTTGAGAGGCAGTAGGAACATGGTGCAAAGCAATTAAACCCTCATGAAGCTCTGTCCTCATGAAATGGCAGTCCACCTCAATGTGCTTGGTCCTCTCATGAAAGACAGGATTCTTGGCAATGTGGATGGCTGCTTGATTATCACAGAAAACAGGTATAGCAGCAGGAACAGGAACACCAAAATTAGAAAGCAGCCTAACCAGCCAAGTGAGCTCACCTACAACCTTACTAATGGCTCTATATTCAGCCTCAGCAGAAGAAATAGATACAACAGGCTACTTCTTAAACTTCCAACCAATAAGAGAACCTCCTAACAGAATGCAGAACCCAGTAATTGATCTCTTGGTATCTGGGCATGCAGCCCAGTCACTATCACAATAAGGAAAAAGAGAAAGATCAGGGGAGCTGTTGATGAATACCCCAACTTCAGAAGAACCTTGAAGATATCTGAGTATATGTAAAGTTGTATGCATGTGAAAGGAGGTAGGCTTCTGAAGATATTGACTGAGATGTTGTATAGCAAAAGCCAGGTCTGGTCTGGTGTGGGTGAGAAAGTTGAGCTTACCCACCAGACTCCTATAGGTTTCACGAGAAGGAAGAGGATCTCCCATATCTGCCTTGATCTTGACAGTCAGGTCTAGAAGACAAGTAACATGTGTAACATCCTCACAATGATACTCTTTGAGAAGGTCTCTAATAAATTTTCTCTGATGAAGGAGCAGCCCATCAGAGTGGTAAGCAACTTCAATCCCAAGAAAGTAATTGAGAACCCCCAAGTCTTTGATCTTAAACTCATTATCCAGAAAACTCTTTAAAGCATTAATTTCTTTCAAATCATTAACAGTGAGAATAATATCATCAATATATGCAGCCAACAAGATAGTAGAAGAACCGGACTTTTAGAGAAGAGAGAGTAATATTCAGAGAATAAGAGTATCCCATGGAACATAAGGCTTGAGACAGCTTGGCATACCATTGTCTAGAAGCCTGTCTCAAACCGTATAATGACTTTTGAAGAAGGCTAACCAATGGAGAAGAAGATGAAGCAGACCCAGATAAAGGGGTGGATGACAACCAAGGCGGCAACCTCATATAGACCTCTTCATCCAAATCACCATGCAAAAAAGCATTGTTGACATCCAGTTGAAAAAGATGCCAATTTTGTTTGACAACTACAGCAACAAGGCACTTAACACTTGAAAACTTGAAAACAGGGGAGAAGGTTTCAGTGAAGTCCACACCCTCAACTTGGGTGTCACCCTTAACAATCAACCAAGCCTTATATCTTTCTACAGTCCCATCAGCCTTATACTTGATCTTATAAACCCATTTACAATCAATAGGTTTCTTACCAGGTGGTAGTTGGACTATGGACCAAGTATGATTAGCTTCTAAAGCCTCAAACTCCTTCCTCATGGCTTCCTACTATGCAGGAATAGAGGCAGACTCAACCTCAGCAGTGTTAACTAAACTATGAAGACAAGTAGAAGAAGAATTGGGGCCAGACAGAGATGGAGGAAGGTTACAAACATATTGTTGTAGATGAGCATGAGGAACATGAGTCCTACTGGACCTCCTGGGAGCATGTGGTGTGGGTAAAGAAGGAGGTTGGTGTTGTGGAGAAGGAGGAGATGGTGAAGAAGGAGACTGTTGATGTGAAAAAGCGGGAGACGGTGAAAGGGAAGTAGAAGGTGAAGGTACAGTTGGACGAGTATCATGCAAGGAATTATCTCCAATTAGTAGAGGGGTTGAGAGGAGGAGATGGAGCATTGGGAATAGACACAGAAGAAGCAAAGGGAAAGACATTTTCATGGAAGAATACATCCCTGAATATTAGGGTAAGATTAGTTTTCAAATTGTATAATTTGTAGCCTTTTTTAGCCAATGAATATCCCAGAAAAATACAAGGGTCAGCTCTAGGTTAAAACTTATCTCTATGGCATTTAGGGACTGTGGCAAAACAGAGACAGCCAAATGTTTTAATATGGTCATTAGAAGGAGTTTGTCCAAAAAGTGTTTCAAAGGATTTTTGTTGTTAAGAAGTTTAGAAGGAAATCTGTTTATAAGATAGGTAGCTGTAAGCTCACAATCACCCCAGAATCTAATAGGTAAGTGAGAATGAAAGAGTAGGGCTCTTGAGGTTTCTAAAAGATATCTATGCTTTCTTTCAACCACACCATTTTATTGTGGTGTGTGAGAGCAAGAAGTTTGGTGAATTATTCCATTTTCAGCAAAGAAATTGCTGCCACAATTACTAGACCCGAGCTCAAATGCATTATCACTTCTAATGGTTTGTACAATGGATTTGAATTGTGTTTTGATCATGGCAATGAAAGCTTTGATAAGAGGAAAAACATTGCTCTTGGACCCCATAAGGTGAGTCCAAGTAGCTCTAGTGAAGTCATCAACTATGGTTAGGAAATATTTACGCCCATTATGAGTAGGACTTCCATAAGAACCCCAGGTATCTACATGTATAAGTTGAAAAACATGTGTAGTTTTAATAGAACTATCAGGAAAAGGTAGCCTAGGTTGCATTGCTATTGGACAAACAGTACAAATGAAAGGCTGTTTAGTGGAGAATTTACAAGGTATATGAGAAATTTCTTTCATCCTAACAAAAGGTATATGCCCAGTCTATTATTCCATAACATCTCCATTTTATTCAATTCAGAATGGTATGTACAATGAGAACAAGAAATAGAATCAGCAGTTAATAGAGAATGGTATTTACAAGGAACATTTTCATCAAGTAAAGGGGCACTTATAGAACCAGACTGACATGTTGTTGCATGAGATTGAACAGAAGGAGAAGATTGCATAAGCCTGTAAAGACCATCATCCAATTTACCAATTTCCAGTGCGAAGAGGCCTGTATCAAACAGGAAAACTTAGTAAATAGGACAATAGAATCCAACTGGCAAACAAGTTTAGATACAGAGATAAGGTTGTAATGAAAACTAGGAATATAGAGGACATGATGCATTGTAAAACAAAGGAATTGAATGAAACCAATACATGTTACCTTAACCTTATAACCATTTGGCAAGGTGACTAAGTATGGTATGATTAAAGGTTTAATGTCAAAGAGAAGGTCTTTATTGGAGGTCATGTGGACAGTGGCCCCAGAATCTATAATCCAAATGCATTCATCTATTTTAATTATATGCAAGCACCATAAGATACATTTTTCAGACAACTGGGTGGAGGGAAAGTACCAGCAAAGTTGGCAGATGCCATGAGGTTGTGACTCTGAAATTTGTGTCTGTTAAAGCAGCATCATAAGTTGTGAATATTGATCCTTGGTTAACCCAGGAATCAAGAACTCTGACTTGGAAGACCCTTCAGCTGGAGAGTGAGAACTCTCAATAGTATTCTGAAAACCAACAGAATTTGGATAACCCTGCACCTCAACATTTGCAGTAGTCCTTTTACCCTTAGTAAATTTGAAACCTGGTGGGAACCTATGGAGCTTATAACATTTGTCAAACAAATATCCAGGCTTCTTGCAATACCTACACACTATATTTGACTTGTTGAGATCAAAATTAACTCTTTGATCGAACTGTTTAGGAGGGCAGGTGTCCCTGAGAACTTATTATTGAGATGGGCATTGAAAGAGTCAGAATCAGTATGGAATTGGGATGGTGAGGACACTTGTCTTTGTCTCTCATCCTGAAGCAAGATTTTGTGGGTAGTGTCTAGAGATGGAGGAGGCTGCATCATGAGCAGATTACTCTTAACCCCAATATAGGTGTCATTATGCCATATGAGAAACTGATGCAACTTGTTCTCGTCATCTTCTCTTTGGAGCTCAGATTTGGCAGCACATGTGCAAGAACTACCACGAGATGCACGCATAAAACCCAATTCATCCCACAATTTCTTTAGCTTGTTGAAATAAGATGTTGTATCTAAAAACCTTTTGACTAGTGGATGCTAATTTTTGCTTTATCTCAAAAACCTTGGTACCATTGACAGTACTATACCTTTTATTAAGCTGGGTCCAGATACTTTGGGCAGTGCTAGAGTACTGAACACTTTCAGCTATTTTTGGTGTAAGGGAATTGGTCAGCCAAGATATGACCATATTGTTACACCTATCCCATTGCGTAAATTGAGGGGAATTTTCAGGAGGTTGGAGAACTGTTCCATCAATGAACCCTATCTTATTCCTAGCAGATAGGGAGACAATCATATTTCGTCTTCATCCCCCAAATCTAGTCCCAGAAAAAAGAGTACTAACCAAGGAAACTCCCGGAACATCAGAAGACAGGAGAAACAGGGGACTCGACGGGTCAGGGACGAAATTAGCAAAGGAACTAGCAGGTACAGAATCATCAACAACATTAACCATTTTGGATTTCAACTACTCAGTCAGAAAATTCATAGAATTCAACCACAGCACATGCAGTCATATATCTTCACCACAATTAGCAGCTAATAGATTCAAACAACAAAAAATGAGCTAGACAAGAGATACCATTCGTCTTTGTGATCGAAAGACGGTAACGACCTTGAAATTGAAAGGAACCATAACAGTTGGAAAATGAAAAAAAATCAGAGGAATCGACTGATTTCCACGTCAATCCGATGAATCTCAGGTATGACGAACCTCTCAAAGCAACGATTGCAGAAGAAGACTCAGTGACACCAGAAAACCCCAAATTTCTCATCGAACAAGAAAACTCTGATGAAAATAAACGAGGGTAACATCGCAAGGAAGATGGTGAGGAGTAGGAACGGAATCTCCGCTCTAATACCATGTGAAAACATTGATTTCCATGGATTGAACGAAATCTATGCTAAGCTTTGAAAGAATAACGAGAGAGAAAAAGGAGAAGGAGATATTTTCATTTTACAATCTGAAAAAGTAAAATGTTTTCTACATCCTTCCAGAAGAGTCCAAAGTGTTTTCTATATACAAGTGGGATTATCCGCTGATTGCAAAAGAGTGACTAAAAAATGGGCCTTACCAAATAAGTGGGTTGATACCAACAAATACAACCAAATAGGCTTCTTCTTATGTGGGGTGTGCCTCAACATCAGCAACATTATTGTAGTCCAGCTTCTTAACTCCAACAAACCCCCCCCCCCCCCC